AAGGCTATCAGGCCCTGCCTTCAAAGAGCTCACAGGCTCACTTTCTAGCAGAATAGGCAAACAGGGACACTAATAATAAGGCACCATACAATAGAGTACCCCACCTGGTGAAGAAAGGTTGGCTACCAAAAAGTGTGCTAACTTGAGTATTGAGATACAACTAAGAATTCAACATGAAAGTGATGGAATAAAAATATGGGGTGGCAGGGGGAGAGCAGGGTGCATCACTGAGGAAACAAGTCATCGAAGCCTAGGCCCCTATAACCAGTTCACATTTAAGTCCTGTCTCATTTATCTGAAATAATAGCTCCCTTCATCCCACCACCTTCACTTGCAACATCTCCTAGCTCAACTCTCTACTTCCACTTGTACACAAGGTATACAAGCCTTGAAAGCACTAGCAAGAGTGATGGTAAAAAGGAAATCAGATCATGAAACTCCCTACAGTAGCTTCTTACAACTCTTAGAATAAAACCCAAACATGTGACCCAGCATTCCCTGGCCATCTCTTGTGAGGCCTGATCCCCACCCCAAGTATTCAAGCTACAGAGGTCTTCTTTTAGGTCTCTGCAACATGGAGTTCCTTGCTGTCTCAGGGCCCTTACAAAACCATGGAACCTTCTGTCCAGATCTTCACCATCACAAACACTACCTCCTTCAAACAGGTCCATCACTTATACCTCACACTATTACTTTCCAAGGAACTTCCAGGACCCTGCCAGTTAACTGTTAATCATCACACCTGGTTAGGTCCCCAGAAAAGAAAGGCAACTCATTTGGGGCATGTTAAGTTTGAGAAGCACCCTCTTCCTCCGACCCCCGCCCCAGGACACCCAAGCAGCTCTCTGGTGCACAGATGAGTGTGATCATGAGGCATCTGCACTCAAAACGGAAGCTTGGACTTCAGCAAACAAGTCTGATGACAGGGAGGCTGAATAGAGACATGATTCTTCACTTGGTGGGAGAGGGCATCCCTGGGATCTAAGGAATTAGGACGGATGAGAGTTACTGATGGGAGTAAGAATGATGCCACGTTAGTGGTGTGAAGGGCTGAGATATGGTGCACAGTATCTTGGGTTGGGTGAGTTCAAAAAGAAAGACAAAACTGAGAACCAAGAGCCAATGGTATAAGGAAACCAGGAGAGAATTATAACACAATTCCACAAACTCCTTTGTCCTTTTATGCTACCTCCCTTTACAAAACCCTACACATGTTTCATCCAGTTCAAACACCACCATCTTTTGGGAGCCTTTCTGGACTTACTCAAACTTACTTGCCTCCTCTCCATGCATCCACAATTTTCTTTTACCCTCAGTATTATGTAAGGTTTGACCCACACAGAAGTTTCTCATCAGTACTGTTGTGGCACTTATTAAAGTCTGCCTTTTGTACAAAACCTAGGTGTGTATCTACCTTACTACATTGTGAGCTCTTACGGACAGACACCATAACTTTTTTCTTTTTTTATTAAGGTAATCACTGGCCTAAAGCAGTCTACAGATTCAATGCAATCCTTATCAAAATACTAATGGCATTCTTCAATGAACTAGAACAGACAGTTCCAAAATTCATATGGAACCACAAAAGACCCTAAATAGCCAAGGCAATAATGAGAATAGCCAAGGCAATAATGAGAAGGAAGAATAAGGCTGGAGGAATTACACTCCCCAACTTCAAGCTCTACTAAAAAGTCACAGTATCAAGAAAATTTGGTACTGGTACAAGAACAGACCCATAGATCAATGGAACAGAATAGAAAACCCAGGTATAAACCCACACATACATGGCCAATTAATACACAATAAAGGAGCCATGGATATACAATGGGGAAATGACAGCCTCTTTCTTCAACTGGTGTTGGCAAAACTGGACAGCTACATTGATTACTGTCTAAATCCATACACAAAAGTAAACTCAAAATGGATCAAAGACCTGAATGTAAGTCATGAAACCATAAAACTCTTAGAAGAAAACATAGGCAAAAATCTCTTAAATATAAACATGAGCAACTTTTTCCTGAAGACATCTCCTTAGGCAAGGGAAACAAAAGCAAAAATGAACAAATGGGACCAGATCAAACTAAAAGGCTTCTGCACAGCAAAGGACACCATCAGCAGAACAAAAAGACATCCTACAGCATGGGAGAATATATTCAAAAATAACATATCCAACATTCAACACCCCAAAAGCAAATAACCTGATTAAAAAATGGGCAGAGGATATGAACAGACACTTCTCCAAAGAAATTCAGATGGCCAACAGGCACATGAAAAGATGATCCACATCACTAATTATCAGGGAAATGCAAATTAAAACCACAATGAGATAGCACCTCACACCATTTAGGATGGCCAACATAGAAAAGACAAGCAACAACAAATTCTGGGGAAGATGTGGAGAAAGGGAAACCCTCCTACACTGCTGGTGGGAATGTAAGTTAGTTCAACCATTCTGGAAAGCAATATGGAGGTTCCTCAAAAAACTCAAAATAGAAATACTATTTGACCCAGGAACTCCACTCCTAGGAATTTACCCAAAGGAAACAAGATCCCAGATTCAAAAAGACATATGCACCCCTATGTTTATCGCAGCACTATTTACAACAGCCAAGATATGGAAGCCACCTAAGTGGATAAAGAAAAGTGGTACATAATATACACAATGGAATATTAGTCAGTTGTAAGAAGCAAATCCTACCATTTGCAACAACATGGATGGAGCTAGAGGGTATTATGTTCAGTGAAATAAGCCAGGCGGAGAAAGACAAGTACCAAATGATTTCCCTCATTTGTGGAGTGTAACAACGAAGCAAAACTAAAGGAACAAAACAGCAGCAGACTCACAGACTCCAAGAAGGGACTAGCAGTTACCAAAGGGAAAGGGGATGGGGAGGCTGGGTGGGAGGCAGGGAGAAGAGGATTGAGGGGTATCTTGATTCCCACACATGGTCATGGTGTGTGTGTGGCGGGGGGGATCATGGTGAAAACTGTAGCACAGAGAAGACAAGTATTGACTCCATGGCATCTTACTACACTGATGGACAATGACTTCAATGGGGTATAGGTGGTACTTAATAATACAGGTGAATGTAGTAACCACAATGTTTTTCATGTTTAACCTTAAGAGTGTAAATCAATACCTTAATAAAAATATAGTATCACTGACAGACACTCTTATGATGATTTCACATACACGACACAGTGGTCCAACATTCTCCCATATTATCAAGTCCTCACCCCCCCCACTGAGGTCACTGTCTGTCAGTGTAGTAGGATGTTAGAGAGGCAGTAATTGTATTCTCCGTCTGTGCTTCGTCCCCATAGCCTACCTATATTATGACTGCGAACTGTAGTGTCCCTTAATCCCCTTCTCCCTCCCCAACCCCTCCCCCTCGGTAATCACTAGTCCTTGTGTCTATGAGTCTGCTATTTTGCTCCTTCTGTTTTGCTTTGTTTTGATTACTCCACAAATGAGTGGAATGATTTGGAGAGACCGTATCTTAATAATCTGTGAACCCCTGAGAAAGTGGAAACTACTTTTTTGCTTAATAAACTCAAGAAGGGTAAATAACTGAACAGAGGCTTTGGATAACCTCTCCATTTGTTCCTCCTGTAAAACAAAATAACATCTTAACTAATTTGATTCACAAATTCACACTTCTCAAAGTAACAGATACTTGTATAATCTTTATCTTAACAATCATTGCTTAACAAAAAAATACCCTCTAATCGAAGTGCCTACCCTGTTCCAACAATATGTCACCATTTCCTTCAACATAAAAGAAGTGCCCTTAATTTAGCTGGAGACTTAAAATATCTTTCTTCTCAACTGCTGTAAATTCTGTACAAAACAAACACCAAAAGATGTTCACAAAGACGCAGCAGGACTTAAGAAGGTGTCAATCCTGGATTTGAGCCAACTGCCGCCTGCATTATTGGGAAGCCATTCCTGCCAAGCGGAGGTTAGGCATTTACTCAACATTTTTTCCAGCAAGTGCTACTTCACACTCATGCACGCTCCTTTAAAAGTCAGTAAGAAAGACTTTAATGCCACTCGTGAAAACTACGGAGCAACACGAGTCAAGCGCGTCTACCTAGCAGGACCAGAAGTCTGACTAAGCACACCACAAAGGTTAGCTCGGCACACGCCTCAAGTGCACACGGGCGTGGCGCACCTTCCCGACGAGGGGAAGGGGCGCTCCGCCTGGCACGTCCGCTCGGCCGGGAGTGCGGGGCCGCGAGGTCAGCGAACGTCCCGACCGCCAGACCGCGAAGTTTCGGGGGCGGGAGGGGGGCGCGCCCGCGGAAACCACAAGCCGCAATCACTTCGCCGGGAAACCCAGTCCCCGACCTCCCCGCGCCGGGCCGGCGCGCACACTCCTCGCCGCAAGGAAGGCGGCCGAGGGGCCCAACGCGGGCCGGCCGCGCGCCCGGAGCCCACTTGGACAAAGTTTAGAAACCAGGAGAAACTTTCCCGAGAGGAAGCGCCGCGGTGCGCGCGGCCCGCCGCTCGCTCCGCGCCCGCCGCCCCGGCCCCTCAACTTCCCGAGCGCCAGGAAGCGCCGGCCGGCCCCGCCCGGCCAGGGCCCAAGCCGGGCCCCGCAAGGGAAGCGGGTCGGGCGCCGATTCCGGGCGGGTGGCAAGGGAGGCCGCGCCCGGCCGGCCCGCCTGACGAGCCCCCCTCGGCCGGGATAGGGGGCCCGCGCCCGCGCGGAGGGTTACCTGCGGCTGGCGGGGCGAGCGCAGGACAAGAGCCGACTCCCGAGGCCGACGGCCGCCGCTTTGTCTCCGTCCAGCCCCGCTCCGAGGAGGAAATGGGCCGCCCGGCGCCCCCGCCCCTCGCCCGCGGCCCGGCCCCGCCCTCCGGAGCGCTGTTCCGGGAGCCTCCCGCCGCTGCCCGGCCTCGCCGGCCCTGACTTTGGGGACAAGCCATCAGCGGAGAGAGCCCGGGGACGCCAGGCCAAGACCCTCAGATACACCTCCTACTCTCCGCCCTTGGCCCCAGAGTTACTTTACCCCACACCCCTAGCGGGCGCTCAGGCCGGGAGCGCGCCCCCTCAACCCCGGAGGAAGGAGGAGCGGCGCCTCCTGGAACAGCCGGCGAGCGGGGGCGGGCAGGTGAGTCACCGCTCGGGCGCACAGGTGAGCTTCCGGGTGCTGCCCGCGCGGGCCGCACCCCACGGCCGGTGCCCCGGAGGCCGGGCTCGGCGACGCGGAGGCCTGGGCGCGCCCCCCTGAGATGGGCCACAGGTGTTCCCGAGTAACAGGCGTCCAGGAAAGGGCCCCACCCTGCCCCTCTGGTGTCCCAAAGGGGAAACAGGTCTCTGGCAACCTGAGGCAGAGCGGAACTAGAATCCGACCCCAGGGACCTCACAATGCGCGTGAAAGCCCTCCGAGAAACAGCCTCCCACCTCCTCCCTCGACAGACGGGGAAACCAGGAGCTCTTCTGCTGGAGAACAAGAGGCGTGTCGAGCGGCGTCCCCTCCTGAGATTGCACACACGCACACGCACACGCACACGCACGCACACGCCCTTGGCTTCTAACCCTGTGCCTCTGGCTGTTTAGGAAGTTTTGTTCCCATTCTTCCCTCCTCTAGTTCCAGGTGATTGCTCCAAAAGAAACTACAAAACAAGAACAAACCAAAGATACTACATAGTCACCATCAACCTGGTATAGAACACCTTAATGATGTTTCCTCCATCACGGGATGATGAGCAAGGTTGATTTCAGTATCGGCCTAGACAACAATATCCACTGCTGGCTTGGTACTGAGCATTGAGCAGGGTGCTAGGGAGACCTGCCCTCAGCCTGCTTACCGCCTACCACTCCTTCTGCCTCTGCCCCAGGAGATGCAAACTCCAGGAAGACAGAAGCAATATCCCGTGTAGCACGGGACACAACGCCCATTCCCCTGGACAGCAGCCAGTGAAGTCTGTAGGTGAATGTGCCCACTGTTATTCAAAGCTCTTTGGGTTTAAGAGAGGCTGACAAAGTGCAATAGGACCACAAAAGGAGAGAACAACCTTCAAGAGGAAGACACACCTGAAGGCCATTTTTGTCCGACTCTTGTTTCTAGCTTCAGAGTCTTGGCTCCTCTAGTCTCTCCTGCCTGGAGTAGCCTGGCTTCCTCTCAACCACACTGGGCTAACTCAGAACATAGTAATCAATCAATATTCGTTTGAACTAACAAGAGACAGAGTGAACAGATTATGCTCTATAGCTTTGGATATCCATCACTTCACTCAAGACTAGCTACTAAATTTGTGAAGTCCCTTGTTCAAAAATTAACAAATTCAAAACAGCAACAGTAGAGTATTAACCAAGTGTTGGGCCTTCTAAAGCACAGGGCCCTGCTGTAGACTGAATGTGTGTGTCCCCCAAAATTCATGTTGAAAACCTAATGTCCAAGTGATGGTACTAGGGGATGGCCTGTGAGAGGTGATTAGGTCAAGAGGGCAGAACCCTCAAAAATGGAATTAGCGCCCTTATAAAAGAGGCTGCAGAGAGATCCCTTGACTTTCCATCATGTGAGGACACAAGAAGGCCCTATGAACCAGGAGGAGAGATCTCACCAGAATATGACCATGCTGGTGCTTGATCTTGGACTTCCCAGCCTCCAGAACTGTGAGAAATAAATTTGTTTATAATCTCAGTCTGTTTTTGTTACAGCAGCCCAAACGGATTAGTACAAGCTCTAAAGATGAAATTGCAAGATTTGTTTTGGGAAAAGAGTTAGGTAACAGAAAGAATGTGAAGAGATTCTTGCAGCGTGCCCTCTAAGCCAAGGGGAGTTGCATACCTCTTGAGAAACCTTGAAAAGCTTTCCAGGGAAGACTTGAGTATTCACCACATTCAGGCACTTGCTTTGTGCTGAGGAAGCATCAGTGTACAAAACTGACTTGATGCCTGTTCTCACACAACAGAAAATGTAATGGAAGAGACAGGTATTAAAATAGGCACACTATAAAAAAGAAGGTCAAGTGTGAAGACAGGGGAGAGATGCAGGTATTTTGGGGGGGAAGTTAACCTAGTCTGGGTTCAGTGACCTAAGGAAGTGACCTTTATGCTATGACCCACTCCAGTAGACTTTAGCACTCACCTTTCCACCAAAACTGCTCTTACCAAAGTCCCTGATGAAACTCCACGATGCCAAACCCAGTGGTCAGTGTCCATCCACAGCTGACTTGTACAGCAGCGTTTGATCACCCTACTTCTTGAAACACTGTCTTCGTTGGGCCTCCAGGGCACTAGGCTCTTCCAGTTTCCCTCCAACCACCCTGACTGCAACTTTCTAGTCTCCTTTGATGATTCTTTCTGAATCCTCTCAACCTCTAAAGGTTAAGGGAGCAGTTTTCAAAGTGCAGTCTCAAGACTCCTGAGACCTTTTCATGGGGGCAGTAAGATAAGAATTATCTGCATAATAATCCTAAAAATATCACTTGCCTCTTCCATTCCCAGTCTCTCATGGTATTCAGTAGAGTATTCTACAGACTACCTACATGATAAGTGATGGCGTCACACAGAATGCGGAAGCAGATACGAGAATTCAGCTACCTTTCATTAAACCAGACGTTAAAGAGATTTTCAAAAATGCAAAACAATGACACTTCTCCCTGAATATTCTTTTGTTTTAAAAAGCATTTTTTCTTTAAAAAAATGTTATGGTAACATGTAATAATAAAGTAAACATTGATAGATGAGATCCTCAAACATGCTTAAGAGTGTAAAAGGATCTTGAGATTCAAAAGTTTAAAAACTGATGGTAGAGTGTCCCAAGACTCCATCCTTGGACCTCTTTTTCTATCTGCCATCAACCCAGTGGTGATCCCATCCAGTCTTTTGGCTTTTAATGTGCTGACAACTCCAGGTTTATATCTCAACCTGAACCTTTCCTCTGAATTCTAAATTCTCTTATGCAGCTTGTACTTGATATTTCTCCATTTGGATCTCCAGTAGGCATCTAGGCATCTTGCACTTTATATGTCTGTATGTCCAAAACTGATTTGCCAATGCCTTTGTCCAAACCTGCTGATCCCACAATTTTCTTCATTTCATTAAAGAGCAATTCTATTCTGGTTGTTTAAGCCAAAAACTTTAGTTGTCCTTGACTATGTTCTTTCTCTCTCACATTTCATACCTGATTGCTCAGTAAAGTTGTGCCTCTGCCTTCAAAATTTAATCAGAATCGACCAACTTCTTACCATCTCCACAGTTAACATTCTGAGTCAAGCCAGCATTATCACTTAGCTTAAATTTTACTCTGCCCCAAACCCTTCAAAGGCTTCTGTCTCACTCAGAGTAAAAGGCAAGGTCCTTATAAGGGCCTCCAGAGCTCACCTGTCCCCATGCACTTCTCTGACACACTGGCCTCTTTAGTAATCCTGGAACAAATCAGGCAGACTCTAGCCTTAGGGCCTTTGTGTTGTGCCTGGAATGCTTTCCTCTAAATAGCTGCCTGACTCACCCTCTCATCTCCCCCAGGTCTTTGCTCAGCTGTCACTTTCTCAGTGAGGCTTCCTCTTGGCCACACTATCTAAAATTGCAACCCCTTCCCCAAGCATCCCTATCCTCTTATCTTGCTTTATTTTTCTGCTTAGGGGAGTATCACCATATGGCATATAAAGTCATGTTCATATTTAGATTTTAATTTATTGTAGTCTCCTGTCTTCTCACTAGAATTTAAGCCCAGTGAGAGCTAGAATTTTTGTCTTTATTGTTCAGTGCTGAGTCCTTGGTGCCTAGAATAGTGCCTGACACATAGCAGGTCCTTCATTAAGTATTTGTTTAATGAATGAAAGAATGAATAAGTGGGATCTGAAAAAGACATTGGCAAGGTAGATAGAGAGGGAAGGAAGGAGTTTAATTCTAGACCGAGGGACTAGAAAGTTTGAAGACACTGAGTCCCATTCCAGGAAAAGAAGTTCTGTGAGCTGGTGAGGTAGGCAGAAGCCAGACTGAAGAGGGCTTTGTAAGGCTTGGACTTTATTGTGAGGGGAGGGAGGCGCTACAAAAAATGTTAAACAAAGAGATAACATGATCAGATTTTGCTTTTAAAAAATTTACTTCGGAAAAAGCATATTGTAAAGCAATGCACACAATATCTTATTTATATTTGAACAATGTATACATATTCATATTAACGTTCCTTTCTCATAGCCACTGAGCCATTAAAACCTATCTTCTGTTCAAAACCCTCCAGTTCTTCCCATCTCACTCTGAATAAAATCTGCACCATCTTGCCCAGTGACCTCAGACCCATTTTAGGCTTTCCCCTTCCATCTTTTTCCTCCAGCCTGCTCAGGGGTCCTAGACATTTCCAAAACAACTCAAGCACTTTCCTGCCTTAGGGCCTTTGCATTTCCAATTCCCTATGTTAGAATAATCTTCTCCCAGATAGCTCCTTAGTTCTATTCATAGCTTCACTGAGATCTCTGCTCAAATGTCACCTGTCCAGGAGGTTTTCCCTGACCTCCCCTTGTCAGATAACACCAGTACCCACTTCCCTTCCCTTCCCTCTTCATTTTATTTCTTTATCCTGCTTTACTTCATAGCATTGTCACCACCTAACACATTATATGATCATCTATTTACCTAGGGTCTGTCTTCCCATTAGAATATAGTGTCATTAAAGCAGGTATTTTCTTTTCTGTTCACTTTTGTAGCTCCAGAATGGTGCTACCTAGAACGGTGCCTCAACACAGCAAAGCACCTAGAACAGTTACTCAGTTGAACAAATGAATAGTTAGAAGTCTGTAAGGATACCCAGCAAAGTGTTACAATGGTTATACACAGGGAGGAGAATGGGGGGGTGGGGAGGCTTTTAGGTTGTAAGTCCAGGGAAAGGAAATCCCAGGGCAAAATACCTCTAAAACCGAAATCAATCTAAGGGAGAAATAAAGTTTACAGCCTGTTTATTGCTTACAAACTGCAGTCCGGGGCCGCCTCTCACTCTCCTATTCAGGCAGAAGCAAGCAGGGGCCTCTCCCTAACCTCTCAGGTTCAGATAAGCCCTCACTTGCTCAGTTAATTACCCACTGATATGGAGATGAACCTCTCTCCACCCCTGAGTAATGCCTGTTGATATGCAGATACCCTAAAGCCAGGGAGATATTCTGGAAATATTACAATTTTACCCACACAGGTTCACTGTAAATAAGATAGTATATATAAGTGCAGTGGGATGGAAAGCAGTGGGTAGATTTGGGAGCTATTCAGAAGGACAGAGGATCCTAGGTCTTGCCAATGGATTGGATGTGGATGTTTCTGACTGGATCAGCTGCGTGGTGCCATTTACCCAGATGGTGAACCCTGGAGGTAAAGTAGGTGGGGTTGGGGATGGAAAACAATGCAGATGAAGAACTATTTGGGGTCATGCTTAACTTTAGTACCTACCAAATATCCCCGAGGAAATATCCTATAGACAGGGTTATATCCAAATCTGAACTTAAGAAAGGCCTTGAATATAACCAGAGATATGGGAGTCATTTGTACCTGGAGAATGTGTGGCAAGAAGAGTTGGAAGCCCAGCACGGGTATTTGAGAGGAAGACTTCCCTCTACAACCCAGAGTCCTCTTTTCCTTTCCCAAAATGCACCACTTCCTTCTCTGCACTGGGGTCTTGCTGATTGCTAGACCCTGTACTTGGAAAACCATTTGCCCTAACTTTTCAGCTTGGCTCCTTCTTTTTTTTTTAAATTAAAATGTTTATTTAGTGTCTACTTATCTATTGGTTTTTTTAAGATCTTTTTTTTTTCCCAAAATTTTACGCCATTTTCTTAAAGACTTTGTTCTTTATAGAGCAGTTTTTGCTTCACAGCAAAATTGAAAGGAGGGTGTGGAGATTTCCCATGCACCCAGTCCCCATGCGCACAGCCTCGCCCATCATCAACATCCCCCACCAGAGAGGTATATTTGTTACTGATGTACCTGCACTGTCACATCAGGATCACCTAAAGTCTGTAGTTCACATTACAGTTCATTCTTAGGGGTGTACATTCTGTGGATTTGGACAAATATATAGTAACGTGTAGTTATCATACAAAGTATTTTACTGCCCTGAAAATCCCTGTGTTCAGCCTGTTCATCCCTCCCTGTGCTTCTCATTCTTGGGGGTCACCTGATCAAAGAGACCTTCCTAACTGTACCCCCCCGCACCCCAGTCACTCCCCACCACATTACTACATTTCTGTTCTTTACAGCACTTGTCCTTCTCTAGAATTGTCTTGTTTTTCTGATGGTTTATTTTCTGTTTCCTCCAAGAGACTATAAGCTCCCTGAGGAAGGAATCTTGTCTGACTCTTTCACTTCCCTGCCTCCATAATTTAGTACAGTGCCTGGAACATAAAAAGCACTTTAAAAATGTTTACAGAAAGAATGAGTATCCATATGTATAGGAGAAAAGCCAAACGTCATTGAAGCCAAGGGCTTGGTCTCTAACGTCAACTAATGACAGTTGGGTTGAAACTTCAGGTTTCAAGTTACTTCAGGTTGTAGTGCACATAATCACAAGGGTTAAGCTGCAGCTAAGAATATTAAGGAAAAAAACTACTGTTTAAAAAGTCAATTAGTGGCACAAGAACAGACCCATAGACCAATGGAAAAGACTAGAGAGCCCAGATATAAACCCAAGCATATATGGTCAATTAAT